TTTTAATAATAAAACAGTTTTCTATTATGTGGTGAAATAAAGAGCGAGATTGAGAATGCTATCTGAGTTTGGGTGCAGGATTTATTTAGGAAGTCACCAAACTAAGTTGCTACCCTTTGTAATTAGAATTACCATAATCTTTTTGGTGCTTGCTTCAAGCTGTTAAATGCACATGCAATGGTTTGACACTAGTTAAATACTAGTGACGTTGAAGAAATAAAATTATTGTGATAACACCTAATTTTATTTATTCTGTCTCACTTTCAAAACCTAAGCTGCTGGGATCTTTTGAATAAATCTAATCAATCAGCATTTACAAGAATGTTGCCTTGTGATTGTCATAATTACACACTTCCAAGCAACATCTGTTTAGGTTTCAGATAGCATTTCTTGGGTGGTTATTATTGCTGGATGCATAAAAAGTGGCATAATCAAAAAGTGACCCCAATGATGAAAAACAGTTGAAGGAATACTGACTTATTCCTGCACTTCAGCAGTTAGACATAGTCACAGCTGCTACTGGGGAAGCAAACAAATAGGATTCCTCCTTGTAGCCTTCATGAAGGTGGCTAACTGGCAAAATGCTTCCTATTTTATGGAGTCATAAATCCCAGCCCACGCTCATTACCAATCGAAATATTTTGGTGAAGACTGATTGGAAAGAGATGAAAGTGTCACTCAAAGTACTTTGAGCTGTCATTCCCAATTAAATGATCATTTTTCTACTCTCAGCTCATTTAATGAGCATAATCATATATTCTTATACCAGTGCCATAGGTTCAAGCTTGTATAAATTACCAGAATTTAAAATCCTGATTCTCTTGGCAATTAGGCTGGCTCTTACTGCTTAGAAGATTGATTTCTTCCTTTTATCTGATTGAATTAAGCTTTGTAAATATAAATATATATATATATATCCATTTATACTCTAGTAATCAAATGACACCAGTAGCAAATATAAAACAAAATTAGTATGCCTGGTGACTGTATTTCTATTGGCACCAGAGGTTGGGGTTAGAACAGAGGTAAAAATGGAGACATTGAATGTTGTATTTGGATGATTAGTGTATTGTGTTAATGTTTTGGTTATTTCCTTCTGGAATAAAGGAGGAATTAACTGCTCCTGGCAGAAATTGAATCAGAGGGGATAAAATGGCTACCATGTGTCAAATTAACTCCAACTACAGACTTGGATAAATTGGCAGAAGAACGTAAACTCAAAAAGTGTATAACAAGAGACATTGTTTTCTATTAATTATACATTGATACTTTTTTTGCATCACAAAAGGAAAAAACAAATGACTCATTTTTGGAAATTCACCTAATTTTAGAGTGAAGAACATTACATTGAATGGGAAACATGATTTAAATATATGGCAATCATTTACAAATCTTAACAAAATGAAAAATGATTCAGGAGTTTATCTTACTGCAATGATTTGTTAGAGATTTAATACAATAAGAAATGAAAATTGTTCAAGTATCCTGTTAGAAGTTTTACAGGCTTCAGAAAGAGCAACAATTAATGAAGACTTGTAAATTCCAACAGTAACTCCAATTATTATAGTTTGAAGTCATGTGTATGACAAGAGAATATGATACAGAAACAAGCCGAGGGAAGCATTTTGCATAAAAAGATGCTTAATCGATATGAACACCAATGTAAGAGAGTAGAGAAGAACAATGAAATAATATTAAACTCTTTATTCTCCTCTATACAAATTACAAACTATCTGTTCAATTTTAAAAACACCAAAATGATTAAATTTATTCATCACAAACCATCTAGAAGTATAAATGAATCAGCTATGATATCAGGATTCAATTTGATTAATCACATTTTCTAGCTAAGATAATGCTTACAGAAAATATTATTAAAATAGCTTCTGGTTAAACACATTAACAAAATTTTAATTAGATGCTATACTTTTTTAACACTTAAATAATATATATCAAATTATATGTTTAATTATAAGTATTCACTATTTTCTTTGGATATAATCACTTAATTTTCTCAGCCATATCATGTTGAAATATAGATTCTCATCAGATCACCAAAGCCAAGCAACATCAAGGTTGGTCATTATTTAGAAGGGTGACTGATTTGAAATACCAGGTGCTGTAAGCTTGGATGTGCAGGTGGTGTAATGGATAATGGCTCAAAACTGCAAATCAGAGAGCCGAGTTCGAATTCCAGTTGCACTTGTTATATTCACTAACACTAACAGCTTACAGCCACATCACATTGAAATGCTGGTTCCTATATGATAACCAAAGTTAAGCAACATCAAGACTGGTTAGTATCTATATGGGTGACCACATGGGAATACCAGATGCTGTAAACTTTGATGTGGGGGTGGTGAAATGGATAATGGCTTGTAATTTTTAATCAAAATGCTGAGTTCCACTTTCAGTTGGGGGTGTTATATTCACTTAAAAGCAAATACTCTTGGGAAAGGCATGAGTCTACCTCTTCCCCCACAAACTCTGGGTTACTTAATAAAAGTACTATCACTAAATCATTATTATCTCCAAAAAGATTCTTACTATCTGAAAATATTTTCTGGCTTTAAATAACCTGCAAAGAGTTGATAAGCCATAGAAAATAAATCAGTCAATGAATATATTCACTTGTGTGCAAATATCCTTGGGAATGGAATGGATTCAAATCCTCTCCCCAGCTATGGGCTAATTAGTAGGACATGTATCAGTAAATATCTCCAAAATATTCTTACAATATAAAAATATTATGTAGCTTTAGATAACCCTCAAAAACAAATCAATCAATTCTTTTTATTTATTTTATTTTCCTATATCAAATCACGATATTTCCATTTTATTTGAACATATTTCCATTTGACAAATTAGTTATTTTAACAATTCAATTTTAATTTTCATCAAATTCAATTTGTTTCTAATTAATTAGTTTATTCACAAATAATTATTTTAATAATTCAATTTTAATTGTCATCAAATTCAATTTGTTTCTAATTAATTAGTTTATTCACAAATAATTATTTTAATAATTCAATTTTAATTTTCATCAAATTCAATTTGTTTCTAATTAATTAGTTTATTCACAAATAATTATTTTAATAATTCAATTTTAATTTTCATCAAATTCAATTTGTTTCTAATTAACTAGTTTATTCACAAATAATTATTTTAATAATTCAATTTTAATTTTCATCAAATTCAATTTGTTTCTAATTAATTAGTTTATTCACAAATAATTATTTTAATAATTCAATTTTAATTGTCATCAAATTCAATTTGTTTCTAATACAATATTTTAATTAGTTTACTCATATCATAAAAAATGATGGTGGAATTTAAATAATTTTGAAATTGCAATGATTATATTTCCTGCGTGGGTAGCCTATTGTTTTATTTAAGAAAAATAGATACTTTTTAAATTTTTTCTAAAGAAAAACAAAAGAAATGTAATGCGATGAATGAGCAACCTGTTGTAACTAGTTACTGATGAGTTATTCCATTGTTATGGTAATATTAAGCACATTTACAAACTGCACCAAAAAAAGAATGCCTTCTGTTACTATAAAAATAATTAGTAAATTGTGAAGATGAGTCTGCCTGACTGATAAATATATAGAGTTACATAGTGTTTTATATTATAGAATAGATTAAAATTCTCAAGAAGAATGTTATTTCAACTATTAATTTTCCCCAGATGAAACCTGAAGAGATTAGTAGAAGATTAAGTGAGCTTGGCTGTAGTTGTACAACACCCACCTCTTGGCAGAGATAAACATCTCAGAGATAATTTGGCTCCTTTGAATAGAATATGATATACCAACCTCATAACTAGTTACATCTTGTCTTGCTTTGGGTGACTACACACCTAAGTTGCTGGTTTTACAGTTATTTAACTTCTGTTTCTTTTAATTTAATGTTTAGCAACCAAAAATAATGCCAAATTAACCCTTGATCTTAAGATAAGAATCTACCATATTTTGAAGACGGTAAAATAAAGAAATAAAAAAAAAATGGCTGTGAACTTATCTAATTCTGACAGTGGATGATTAAGAAAAAATCCATCACCCAATTATTTGACATATTTTTTCAAAGGCAAATTTAGGAATGTAGTTGATTCCTTTTTAGCTAGTCAGCTCATCTTATAGACTTTTTCTAATGTATTGAGTTTGATTATCACTAGATGCCCTGATCCTGTAGCTTTGTGTCAGAAAAGCTAAGTTCACTAAATATTTTGAATGTCTTGCTATAAAGCAAATTTAACTTCACATCTCATGTCTTCTTTTATGTGCTCTGTCCATTCAGGACATAGGCAATCATCGTCTTCTGATCACTTGTAGATCTTAAAAAGTTTCGTCTTTTTGTTATATCTCCCAAACACTATTCTACCATCCATTTATTCATGTCCATCAAGTATGCTACCCACTGTTTTCCTCTGTCCCTCTTTACCTTAATCTGTCCTGTGAGTATCAAACTTTCTAAGCCCTCCTTCCTCATGAGACAGACATTTCAACTGCCTCTTTCTGATGTTAAGTATGTTTCCTTTTTGATTCCATTTTCTTCAAAACCTCATAGTAGCTCACATGTTCAGTCCATGGTATTCTCAGCATCTTTTGGTAGAAACACATGTTGGTTCAAGTCTCTTCTTCAACTTTGAGGAGATTGTCCAGCATTTGCTGCCATACAGGAGGACAGATATCATGTTAGCAATTTTGATTAATAATAAGTATTCCACAACTGCAGCTTTGTAGCACACTAGGTAAGGCTTAAATATTTTAGGCACATTGTTATGAATTTATATTCAGCAATCTAGTTTTTTATATTATCTCAAAGATAAATGCAGTAAGAAAGAAACTGATTGCTGGGTAGTTAATAAGCAGCTACTCTAGTGATTTTGATCCTCACTAGGTGTCCTAATCATTCATTTTTGTGTAAGAAAAGCTAATTTCAATAAATATTTTGGATGAATCACCATAGAGGAATGATTAACAGTTTAACCACAGACCATGTGTTATGTAGTAAGTTTGTTTATAAATCAGTATTCCACAATTGTGGCCTTGTACCATACTCAGTAAGGCTTAGTAAACATTTTAGGTTCCTTGTTACCAAACAATGGTGAGCAGTCTAGTTTTGCAGATATTTATGACTATAATGAGTTTGATCCACACCAGGTGCCTCACATTTGTTGCTTCATACCCTGTCTATATGGGTATCTCACCATAGAGTAAAGATCGGCAATCTTTTACAGACTATTATTATTATTTTAGAGAATTAAGTCTTCACTATGTGTTTCAGACTTGTAGTCTTATGCCAGACTAATCTCAGTAAATAAATTTAGGCCTTGTATCATACTGAAGCAAGCAGGTTAAATATTGAAAAATGCTGGTTATCTTATAATTGTTTGGTCTTAATTTATATTTCCTGAGTCAAGTACTAGAGAATACATTTTAAATCAGTTTTACTCTTATATATATGTTGCACAAATTTGTCATGAGTTGCAACCTTGAAGACGTTTTTCAGATGTGCTGGAACTACAACAGATGATGCATGGGTACTTTGTTGTGCTGTAAATGAATAGCTTTTCATCTTATTACTGTGCAGAAAAAATTTTTACAAAATTATAGTATGATACACAGTGCCTCTTTGAAAGTTATTTAAAAAATGGAAGATAATAAAATTATAACAATCATGATGAAAATGTTTTTTTTTATTATTGAGTGCCTCAAAGTTATTAGAATGGTTGTCTTCTGCCATTAGTTTCAAACAGGATACAATTTTCTCATTTTTATCTAATGCTGATACCATTCTACATCCTCTCTGAAGTCTTTTTTTTATTTTTATTACTCCTTTGAAGTTTATCTATGTAAACCATCTAATATCTACCAGCATCTGTTCAGATCTTTCTCTCTTTCTCAATCTGCTAATATCTATCTATATGTCTATCTATCTAAATATGGTCACATCTATCTATTTCAATCTGGTCTTATCTATTGTTCTATTTATCTCAATCTGGTCTTATCTATCTATCAATTTCAATCTGGTCATATCTATCTATTTAAATGTGGTCATATCTATCTATCTAAATCTGGTCATATTTATTTATTTCAATCTGGTCTTATTTATCTATCTATCTATCTATCTATCTGGTTATATCTATCAGTCTATTTATCTATTTCAATCTGGTCATATCTATCTACTTCAATCTAGTCATATCTATCTATTTAAGTCTAGGCATATCTGTCTATTTCAATCTGGTCTTATCTATCTTTCTATCTATCTAAATCTGGTCTTATTGATCAATCTATCTATCTATCAATTTCAATTTGGTCATATCTATCTATCAATTTCAATCTGATCTATCTATCTATCTATCTATCTATCTATCTATCTATCTATCTACTTCAATCTTGCCATATCAAAGTTCATGCAATCCCACCTTCAAAAGTAGCAGATGTGCATCCAGAGCCTTCATCAGATGAAAAATTTGGCATTGACTTGGTTTTGAGTCTGGCACATTGTTACAGTTTATCCAGGGTTCTTCAGCAATACCCTTTCTTACTTAGTTGCTTCTCTATCCTGTTTGAAAATGCAATGCAGATGCAGAGTCTGCCTAATCTTGGAATCTTAATATCTTTCCTCTTTCATGATGCTGACATAACAAGTTTAGCTGAATTTGGAATGATGAGAAAACATCAACATTTCACTTCAAAAGGAAATCTAATTATTTTCCAGACATGTCTCCTGATTTCTTTCAAATCTTCATATTTTTTGGAGGCCAGTTGATATTTTTATGAAAAGAAACCATTAACTTAAAATTTTCAACCTTATGGAATTTACCAGCAAGATGACACTGTTTTCTATATTCTATTTCCCAGTGTACAACACTCACCTGTAATTTTAGCAAGAAAGAATTAAGGTAAAAAAAATCTAATAATATTCACCCAATGAATCAATGACACTTGTATTTTGGGTTTTTTATATTTTTATATTATTTTGATTTGTAATCCTGATATAATAATTTATAGTCTGGGGTATGACGATTAACTACATCTGGTAACAAAGACACTGATTGGGAGAGTGGAGGTTTTGAGGAACATGGAACCATCTCTTAATTGCTGTTGTTCCCAGGTCCAGCCTGACACGGGGTGGCAGCACCTATAAGAGCCCTAGCTATGGGCAAATAGTGAACCCCTAAACAAAAATATAAAAGTATAAAAATACTTCTTTCATATAAAAAATTTCCAGCAACACCTATTTACAGAAAAATTACTAAGAATACCTATTTATAGTAAAATTACTGACAATAGCTATTTATAATATATATTTAGTTGATGCCATAAAATTGTTTGAAATATTTAGATTGATATGGCACTAAACAAAGTCAACCAAATATAATTATTTATAAACATAAAGATTTAATTCTGGGGTCATCAGTGGGTGAGTATGTCAAAAAGGTAGTTTTGAAGTATTTGTTACCTAGACAACCATTGGTTTCAAAATGCAGCATCATTATTTAAAAGGAGATTTTTGGAAGAAAAGTTTTGTTTATATGATAGGGAATTGGCTACAATTTGTTTCTGAACATAACTGTCTGCCAGGATCCTATTAACCCTATTAAAGACACCTGTTCAATTCACTGATCAAAATCAAAATCATGTGTAAGCAAATTTTTAAATTTTATTTCTATCATCAAAGCACTGCTGAATCAAATAACATAACCATGTTTTCTTTCTATCTTTTAATATATACATATCCATACTACAGGGTTTTTCAAAATTAGTGCACTCACTCTTTAAATGAAAATAAATAAAATGTTTATTGACTTGCAAGAAAGATTAATGGTTTAAATTAAATATTAAATCAAATTAAATGTATGGATCTGACTGAAAAAAGAAGAATATCCAGAAGTTATAGGAAGTCAAAAAATGAGTATATTTTTTTGGTGTGTGTGGGGGGGGGATACCCTGTAGATATGTCAATTAGTATATTTGTATCATTCTTGATAGAAATATAGAAGTTAGATATTTACATACACCTTAGCTGAACAGTTTTTCATAACTTCTCATATTTAATTAAAAGTTCCCCCACATTAGTCAGCTATAATCATTCCTTTACTTTAAATATTGGAAATCACAGAATAATAGTAGATAAGGATATTAGCTTTTATTTCTTTCATCATATTCACAGTTATTTCATCTGATTTATTTTTTATGACTTATCAACCCTTTGTGGGTTATTTAAGACTAAAACATAATTTTGAATTGTATATATTGTATAAATTGTATATAAAACATTCTTCTCTAAATAAATATGGCAACAACAATTCTGAGAATAGGTATAAATTATGTAATACTTATTTTTTAGATAAAACTTGTATAAAGATAAGTTGGAATAAAGTTTTTACTCAGAAGTAGATTGTAGGATTTTTCCAAGCATAAATCATAAAGAAATATGTTCTAAAGAAAGAAATGTATGAAATAAAACAAAAAACACATCACTTAAGGACTACCAACAGCAGCAACAACTAAAATAGATAGAACATGTAACTAAAAGAGAAAATAATGATATAATCAAGATGTTAACATTCCACCCGACTTCAAATAAAAGGTTAGAAAGGAACCCTCCCATCAATACAGCTGCTGGATTTGAGAAACTTGTTTACCAAAGAAAATTGTTTTAAGAGAAAGATTTTGTAAATTTTAACCAAAAGGAGTATTTGTTGCTCAGTCAATGAAAGCCAAATGTTTCCTTATAGGAAAATGGCTAAAATTACTATTGCCATTATAAAGGCTACTCTCTTTTATGACATGCAAAAATTTCACTCAGTTCGGTATTTTCAAACAAAGAGAGAGAACAATAAAAGAACAAGAATTAGGAAAACAGATGATGATGACTGACATTGAATTTAAATTTTTGAAGATCAACATTAACTGGAAAGCAAGAAGATGGAACAGAGTTCTACAAACAAGAAGTGTGATGGAAGAAACAGTTAGCACAGAGCATGATTGCATCTAGTCATTAAAAGTGTGAAATGATGAGAGATTACCACCAATCTAGTACTGGGTTTAAATTTATAAAGTCTAAGTACCATAGAGGAAAATTCATCACAACCATTAACATGAAAGTATTCAAGGTGGGAAAGTGAGTGAAGCCGAGATGCCAGGTCAGGACCAATAACACTGCAGAATCTTCTTTGGATTTTATCAAGATTCTATGAATATATAGCAGGAGCACTAGGCCAGATGTGGTAGCAATATTCAAATTAAGGATGACTGGCAAACTTACAAATAGGTAAGACAGATTCTGGCGAGAAAAATTGTCTATCACAACACAGTGAACCTACTTTCCTAGCTGCAGACTTCAATATACTTTTTCCATTTCATGTTAGTGGAAAGTCCAAGAAAACTTAGGGAGTCACTCTCCTGGAGCTTAGCATCAGAGTTCTTGCAGATGATTAAAAGAGATCAGTTTCGTTTTGGAGGTGTTAAAGTTAACAAGCCATACTTTGCCCCACTTAACAACAGATTGTAGGTCATTCTTTTAGATCAGCTGCTAATTTGAGCTTATGGAACCAATCAGACATACTATTAAAGCAGGAGCAAATGGTTGTGTCATCAGCATACATACTGAGTTGAGAACTGTTGACATCAGGAATGTAATTTATGAAAATTAGGAACAAAGTAGTTGACTCTGGTGTTCTTGATCCATTTTTCATGGAAGAATGATTGTATACACCTTATCCAAAAATGTCAGTTTTTCACAGTTCCTAACAATCCTATCAAAGATACTCTGTCTTAGGTCAGTTAGGGTTACGACTTTATTTTAATAATATGAAATGTCAGAATATCAGAGGTTAGGATTTATTTCAGCTTCTATGGAAAAGAAGAGGAAACGACTAACTACTAGGTCTCTTAAAGGTTGCAGACATGAATTTACAGGCTGTAATGGAAAAATATTTATGGTAAGTGGCATAATTTACAATTGGGCAAAAAACAATCACAAAAATATCAAAAAATGATTAACAAAAGCAGTGCAAGAAAACTTGCTCTTCATTCCTGTCCACAGTAAAAAAAAAATGGAAAATAATGAATAATTTTCAATTCTATTATCCAGAAAGAGGTGTAAAGGAGAGTGAAAGGTTCTAATAAACTTTTGCAGATCATGAAGTGAAGTGTAAATACTTTCAACATCCAATATGCATTATTTACCAATTCCTTTTATCTTTTTCATGGTTTTGTTTTTTTTTCTTTTTAATCTTTTATTAGTTGTGTGGCCTGTGATGATGGACTACCAACAAGGAACTATACTTCAAGCACTGTACATACAGCTCTATAGAAATTGTATTGAAAATGATGAATAGATTAGGATACAGATTAATCATCATGCAAAACACCTTACTTTTTGCATAATGGATAAAGCATACTTTGTGAATGAAACCCTGAACTAGATCTGTGGTGTGATTTTGAAGAGAAGATAATCGTAATCAGTCTAGCTGATAATAAATTATAAAACTTTTTGGCACATCATCATAAAGGGCACTTTGCTTTATCACACACACACACTATATATATATATATATATATATATATATATATATACACACACAAACAAGTATAGTACCCATAAAAATGATGGGATTGTTTATATATGTATTGGCACTTTTGCCTCACATCAAAGTAGCTGTGTGCTCAGAGAATCAAAATGTCACTCCTTACGTCCTCTACCCAGGATCAAAGTATAATATCAGTGAACTCTGCCTCAGATCAATAGAGAACTTCCTAACATTTCTGGATAGTATTTGTGCGTGAAAAATGTTATATACATACATATATATATGTATAAATGCATGTATATACATATATAAACTCACACACAAAAAGTCACTTAACAGCACAGTAAGTGGTATTGCCAAGTTCAAATTCTGGTCAGTTCTGTTTAGTTCACTTCACGCAATTCCTAGTGAAAAAAGGCATGAATCCTTCTTTCTCCAGCTATGGGTTAAATAGTAGGACATACACCCTTGTGCAAATCAATTAAAACAGCCGCTTTAGTTTCCTTTCTTTCACCATACGGTCAGGTTTAGACCCACTGGAGTGACAGGGTGCAATCAATTTCTATTTTTTCCTCAGATTAGGTCATTCGCAGTTGTGTGCAATAATATGAATATATTTTTGGGGTGTATTGAAAAATATTGCATCATCCATGATTGCCTCAGATTTTCATCATACCCAGACGTTATTGTCTTGACTGTCGATTAGTTGTCCTATGGCCATTGTCTGCTATGGAGGCTACTCCAAGGAAGTGCATGAAAATTGTAATGCTGCACAAACACACTGGCAAGCCTTAGCAGTGAGCAGACCAATGTATTATAGACTGACCCAGAAACTTCCTGATTTAAATCCAGTTGAAAATCTGGTCAATCTGAAGGGAACAACTTTGTGGAATGGACATACGAAGTACTAACATGTATATTGGGTCATGTTTCATTAAAAAAATATTAAAAAAACTAAATAATAATGGAATTATTCATTTTGTTTCAATTAATTTGCCCTGGGGTGTACAATGTTCTCTTGCCTTGGGAGATAGCCAGTTTAGGAGATAGAAAGCTCTAAATTCAAACTTTTTGTTTAAAGTTTCAATATACATGGAGAATTTCCATGGCATGACACTTCCACTGTTTTCTCTACCCACACTGACCCTTACTGCTGCTTGTGTGCCTATCAAAAGTTCAGTCACAGAAGATGTGGTTGTATGACTATTACTATGTCATAAGATAGCCAAGGTCATTGAAAGTTTTATCAGAGTATCTACCATCCTTGCATGCATATTCTGAACACTAACCAAAATCATCATCCGGATGGCACAATTACATTTTTCTATTAGCATAAATATATGACAAAGTAATACAAAATTCTCAGCC